GATTAAATAATTATCTGACATGCTTCTTTAGTTCAGTGTTTACAGTGTATATGAACCTGCCTCTGACCGGGATGCTCCAGTGAAGCTTTTTTTTTTTAACGAAACTACGAGCTGGAAAAAAGCATCGGCCGAGTAGTTAACTTTAGGATCGATACGCTCCCGACCCAGGCTGGACATCGTTATTATCATACTATCTACGTGGAAAATGAAAAGTAAAAAGATGAAGCAACTGGACTTTAAGTTAGCGTCTTATCGATCTTTCACCCCCTCCTCCTGATGAAAAAGTCAGATGAATGTGACATGAGCGTTCACACTGCAGTCACTTTGAAAACATCAGATATGTATCCGATTTAAAACCACATACTGAAACGGCCTGGGTCGGATTTGAAAAAATCGGATTTGTCGCGTTCAGACTGTCATAAAAAAATCGGATATGAGTCAGATGGGTCAAAAAAATCGGATTTGGGTTGGATTTGCCTGCAGTGTGAACGTAGCCTTTTATTGGAAATCTTTGGCTTTTCCCCCCTTGTAACATTCTACGATTCCCACTGGTGAAGTGCTGCAGCTGTTGTTGGAGGAACGTTTATATAGTTTGCCCAATAATTTGAGCTTTGTATTCCTGGTGAATCCTCCATCCGGCACCCAAATTACTATAATTATTACAGGTTTTAACAGTAATTATTGCACCTTTCAAACCTCGGGGTGTTAGTACTGACCTCGAGAGCAACTCTTTGCTGATAGTTAGCTTGTCTGTACAGTCTTTGTGATGAAAATCTTCTTGCAAGTTGTTTTTGTAAACGGGTTCATGTTCTTGTTAAACCTTTGCATTTAGTGTCACTGCTGTCTCAGCAGTCAATCATGTTGGTCTAAACTGCTTGTACTTAAATCTGTAACTGCATTACTACAACCATTTTACTACAAGTGCAAAAAACATGGATTTAATTGTGTATTTTGCACCAGGGTCTATAAAGTAGGTGTCCCCAGGAGATTGTTTCTACTTGGAGCAGTTTCCACCACTGTTTGTCCCCAAGTTTTAATATTATCATTCTGCGTTTGAAGCTCTTCGCTTTACTTCTGTCACCTCTCCACTTTGAGCTGGGCAGAGTTTTAAAGGGTAACGAATCCAGCTGCCTTCATTTTTTGTTCTTCGATCTCCTTTTGTGCCTCTTTTCCGTCTTGTTTAACGATTTTTGTCCGTGAGGATTTTTAAGTCTGTAGCTGAAGGATAATGCTACAGCTGAGAAAGAACTTGATTTGTATTAAGCCTTAGAGAGCTGAATGTCAATCAAGATTGTTTTTCTTCTAGCGCAGACACTTGAGGAATTTTGAGGGAGGGTGAGACGCTCAGTTAGGGAGGATAGCAGGACAAAACGGCTTGGTGAAAGTGAAAAGAACACAGATGCATTCATAACATTTTTTTATATCCCCAAAACTCTGTGATCAGAATTTACTCATCCTCTTAATTAAATTTATCCATTTAAAGTAACAAAACAAAACTAAATTGCATCCCTGATTAATTTTCCTCAGAATTTAATTTTTTAGAGTTAATTATCTCAAGTATTAAACTGTATTTATGTATTGAATAAAATGGGCTATTCAAGATATTTGCTGTGTCTTTTTGTTACTCCGTACTTTGCAATATTAAGATATAATAATCAGTCAGTTTACAATCTACAAATAGGGTTGTTATTATTATTATTATTATTATTATTATTATTATTATTATTATTATTATTATTATTATTATTATTATTATTATTATTATTATTATTATTATTATTATTATTATTATTATTATTATTTTAACATGGGTGAAATATGGTGCAAAGGCCCCAAAAATTAGCTTGGTTTTGAATGTGGTCTAAACTGTGTTTATAAAAATAAAACTGGAGCTTCTTGGGTTGTATAAAATTTGGTAAGGTATCATTGTGAGGCAGTTTTTGTTACTATGATGTAAAAAATGTCAGTTTAGGTAAAATGAGAACGATAAGAGTTTTTCTGGTCTTAGTGTTAAGATTTCCTCAGTCCACAAATGCACCGCCTGTCTTCAATACACTAAATGAATTTGGTAAACAGTAAAAGATCTTTATTTGTTATAAGATTCAAAATATTTGTAACCATGTATGACAATGTAGGACTGGGATTACAGGCATGAAGCACTGCTTCAGTGCTGATCATGTCAGTTTCATATACAAATGGTTAATCCAGGAATTTCCCCCCTTTTTCTTGTTTCTATAGTCGCCTGGATGCAAACCACATTCAAACAGTTCCAGAAGACAGCTTTGAAGGCCTACAGCAACTGCGCCACCTTTGGCTGGATGATAACCACCTGACTGACGTCCCCGTCAGTTCTTTAAGACACCAAGAAAACCTTCAAGCCCTGACACTGGCACTTAACCGCATCCTGTACATACCAGACAACGCCTTTGCAAACCTCACGAGTCTAGTTGTGCTGTAAGTCAAACGAAGCCTCTGCTAATTGTCGTTCAGAATGGAAATCTAATCAGGAGCACTGAATGTTAACATTGTGTTTTTATTTGTATTTCTGACTAGTTTAACCTGTGCCACAGTGCAGAGCAGTTTCAGAGCGTTATAAGCTGTGTTTACAGCAAGGTTTTTTAATGCACATTTTGAAGTATCACATCAGAAAAGGTGAATGGAAACGGCATGATTCGAACAAACTTCCTCTAATTCGCATAAAAGTTGATACGCTCGCTTGAGGTGTTTTTTTTTTGGAAAAAGAGTTAATGCGCAAAAGGAAAGATGGAAACAAGTTTGTCGAATAAGTTCTGACGTAGCGAACATTTACCTCACATGTTGATCAGCTGTTCTCACTGTCTGTTCGCTACCGGTACTGGTACCAGAGCGACTGCAGCTGGACCCTCCTCCCGCTGTCGGTGTATTCTCAGTTATTCCCGTAACGTGAAAAAAAATTGCATTTTTCTTTACATCTCCAGACCGCATGTAAAATCGCCAAAACTAGTTGATGACAGAATAATTACAACTTTCCTGATAGTAGCAACACGTTCCTGATAACTTCTCTCCATTTTCCTGAGATGCGACTTCTACTTCCTGTTCACTACACACATGCGTCTGACGTAACTGATTCGCTTCAAGCCAGTTGATGGAAACACYTCTGATTTGCACTTGTTTGTTTTTTCCTTTTTTGCAAAATTTTAAAAATTCACTCAAAATTCAAATTAGAATTGGATGGAAACAGCTATAGAGACGAAACAATTCAACTGTTTACATTTTCAGGTAAAGCTTAGTCTTTAAACAGAATAGATTAGAACACCTCATAAAAAATATAAACAAACTCAGAACATTGATTATAGTTACATGATTGTAATTATAGATAAAATTATCCACATTGTTGTCAAAATGTTTGTTGTGAAGTTGTATAGTATAGTAGTGGCTAAATACCGTATTTGTATAAAAACACGATATCAGCTAGTATAAATTTAAAACGCAAAACATGAATCTTTCTTGTCAGGCTTTAATGTGGGGTCTGTTGAATGTTTGTGGGCTACACAATAATTCAAAACCCATCATTTACGTGAAGCTGTTCCAAAAAGAAAATCTCGAAGAAAGGTTTATGGGACCTGCYGTTATTGGGGACATGTTTTGGTTGATTTGTATAAAACTGATTTTAAGGCTGTGCAACTTTTTTTTCAATAAATAGCTGTTGAATTTACATTTTATCAGTTGTCACAACTGAGCATTAACAAAATAAAGGTTGTAATGTACATTATAGGTTTTGACTTGGCTTGTAAATAGAAAATCATGTTGGGGCTTAGGACTGAGCCCTGCGGTGTGCCACAACTCAGTTCAGCCGTTAGGGTTGTAAAGTTTTTATGATGATGGAAACGTTTCTGCTGGAGAGGTATTTACATAAAAAATAATATAATTCCAACCAAAGGCTCTAAACAATGCAGATTCATGCTTCGACACCACACTAAAAGAGAAGCATTGATTAGTTTTTTTTTATTTACACTTTATTATTATTTAGGTTTCTGTTGAAGTTTTATCCTAATGCCAATAAATTGGAATATTTATTGAAAAGTCCAAGACTTTTTATGAGTTTTTCAAACGAAACCTCAAGTTTATTATTGGTTAATTCACCTGTTGAGTCAGAACATTTAAATATTTAATCTGAGCTGGTTGTAGCAGTTAAAATAGGAAAAATATTTTGGCGACTGGGAAGATCAGGAGGTTATTTCATTAAAAATCCCTGATTTCTCCCAGAGATAATATGTGAATGGGTTTTAAATGAGTCAGCWTGTCTTTGGGGTAAATTCTTGTTAGTGAGTGTCTCTGTGCTCACATCTGCAGTAAGAAAGCTGTAACTCTTTGGTTTGTCATAATGACAAACAAAAAATGTCAAAACAAATTAAAACTGGAAAAAAAAGAAATCCTTTTGCTGAGCTTCAGCTCTGAATACATGTTCAAAGCCACTACAAATCAGCTTCCCAACACAAACACAATGTAATATTTATTTCCACAGCTTGTCATCAATAAGTCAACAAAACACGTTGCTGCTCAAAGCCTGCTGTGTTTTTCTTCCAGGCTTTTCAGAAGTGGAATGTGGCGATGGGGTTTCAGTCTGAACGTTAATGAATTATTTGAGGAAAAAGGTTTTTTTTTTTTAATTCCAAACAGTGATATAAAATTAAGTTTGTGTTGTTTTATGTATCAAGGGAAAAGCTTAAATCTTCCCCATCAGAAGCTCGCCTGAGAATCAGAGTTCCTTTTTTTTCRCCAAGCTAGTCATTGCTTTTGGAAATTTGCACACGTGCACACTGAGCGGTAAGGGTGCACAGTTAGTATAAACATGTCAGAATAAACAGGAAAAAAGACCCAAAATTATTAGTCAGCTCAGTCCTGCTGCGTAAATACAGACTGCTCAGACGTCTGATTCATGAAACAAGCTCTGTATTCAAACACTTTTTTTAATGGAAAAAGTTGTACGAGATCAAATGTTGGTTTAGGCTCATGATGAAATAAAATCTGCCCAAGTTTAAAATTCTCACAGATTTACCTACTTTTTTTTTAAGGCATCTTCACAACAACAGAATCAAGGAGATCGGAGCCAACTGTTTTGCTGGACTGGTGAACCTGGAGACCCTGTAAGTCCACAACTTATTCAGAATTTTTGCAAACTCGCACGAGTTCGTGCATCGTCCCGAGTCTGTTTGGGTTCTTGTTTCTGCGTGAAGACAGCTCCTCCACCCAGCTCCTCCGTTCCAGTCCTCCAGACATCATTGTGTGTCCACTTCCTCCTTTAATTGCTCTAGGATAAATAGAGCAAAGTACATCTTATCAAATCTGCCCTCCCACTGCTCACTTCCTACTGACACACAGCCGTGGATAATCTTTTCCTAACAATCTTACCTAACGGGGCAGACCTTCATAGAAATGACCTGCTTCAGCTTTCAAACCTCCTTTTTTTTCCTCTGATTAATTTTTCTGTGATGTTTTTTAAGCACAAGCATGTAATGAAATGTAGTTTTTTTTCATTGATTTTTGGCATCCAAATATTCATAATTTAACTGATTATAGGTTTACTAAGAAACTGGTCTTTTCTCCATGAAGTGGCTGCTTTAAGAAGATGTAATTATACCCCTGACAGTTAAAAAAGATGCCAAACTGAGACTATCACACAGCAACATCAAATGTTCTATTTTTTTATTCACTTTAAGAAACCTGATTGTGGCTTATAAAAAAATAAAAGGGAAAAAAAAGGAAACCTGATTGTACTTTTTGTGTTGATCCTTTGGTAATTGCAGCTGATGCATATAACAATTCAAAGTCTGATTAATAGTGTTTTTTGTCACGTTTTGAGTAGAAAACCTATTTGTTTGTTTTTTTAAATGTATTAATGAGTAAATACATTCAGAAAAGCTTTAAAAGCAATCTGAATCCACATCAGAGTGTAATGAGTTCTTCCTTTTCCCACGATCCACCTCTCAGCTGCTGAAATGTGACTGTATAGTTTATGCTCAATTTTGCTTATAAGCAGGCAAACAAGCAGATTTTGTTGGGTAGGGTAATTAGTGGAAACGGTTTATTTCAGACCGTAAGACAACCACACTCACTTCCTGTGTCCCTTTTTCTGTTTAGAGATCTTAACTTCAACAACCTGATGGAGTTTCCCAAAGCGATAGAGGCTTTGCCCAAACTGAAGGAGCTGTGAGTATTTCTGCTGCCGCTGAAGCCAAAAGCTGTTACAGTGACAAAAATGAGACATGTCTGATTGATTTATTTATTTWTTTTTACATTTAAGTCAGTTTAAAATTTTAATATTAACATGGAACATTTGTGTTTCTAGTTTTGTCACTTGAACTCGTAAATCAATCATACTTAAGCTCAACTGAATTGCTTTGACGTTCTCCTTTCAGCGGGTTTCACAGCAATAATATTGCTTCCATTCCTGAAGGGGCTTTTCATTACAACCCTCTGCTACGAACCATGTAAGCTCAAACTCTCACCCTGTACAAGTTTATATCCAGAATCGTGTCTTTTGAAGGACACAAGTTTAAGACTTCAGAGTAAATTTCCAGAAGATGGTGCCATACTCACTCACTGATTTATTTTCTGTTACGCTTCCTGTGTTCCTGCCGCCCCCCCTCAGACACTTTTATGACAACCCCCTGTCGTTTGTGGGAGCCTCGGCTTTCCAGAACCTGTCGGACCTGCACTCCCTGTAAGTCCCACTGCCGGGGTTCAGTATCTGCATCGTCACCAGCTCACCCTGTGGCGTTTACAAGAAACGTCTTTGACTTGTTTAATTTGTTTCAGGATGCTGCGTGGAGCCAGTTTGATGGAGGAATTCCCCATCCTTACGTCGACTAATAACCTCGAGAGTCTGTGAGTGAAAGAGTGTTCTGCATCTTTTTACTCCGGCTCGTTGTTGTTGTGTATCTGACAAAGTAAGATTTCTTTAAATCTCTAGGACCCTCTCAGGAACCAAAATATCATCCATACCCACCGATTTGTGTGAGGATCTGAAGTTACTCCGGACGCTGTGAGAGACTTTCTTGTTTTCGTTACCTTCAGGGCTTGTACCTTGGTGTCCGTGAATTTCAGATGATTTTTTTTATTATCACTGTTTGTTCACTGTTAAACCCATGCTTTAAAATGGATCATTGACTCTTTCTGTTTTTGTTTTTGTTTTCAGTGATCTCTCCTACAACGAGATCAAACAGTTGCCTTCCTTCCAGGGCTGCAACCTGCTGCAGGAGATGTGAGTGTTGAGTCACTGCAGATAAAAGTAACGATGTCGTGTAAAAAGATGCTCGTTTCTAATCTTCAAAATTCTCCTTGAAACCCACAGAAGCGTTCAGCACAACCGCATTCAACAAATCGACAGGGACACGTTCCAAGGTCTCTCTGCTCTCCGGTTGCTGTGAGTCCTCTCAGTGGCACAGACTCACCACTTTAAAACCAATAGAAATGTTATTTAAAAAAGCTTTAATCAAAAGCCTCTGTCATTCCATCAGTGTAACTTTTTGGAAAACTACAATATGCTCAATTTTGAAAAAAAAAAAAAATTCATTTCAACAATAGTTGTTTAAATTTACAAAGTTCTTAATGGATTAGCTCCTCCTCCAATTTCTACCTACATTAAACTAATGACTGACAGGTTTTAGCACCAGCTCCTTTTGGAACAGTGTCCCAACAAACGTAAGGGAATGTCCCAATTATTGCACATTTAAAAAGCACCTTAAACAGTCTCTTAAACGTTCCCAGTCATGTATTCTTGTTGATTAGTTTTATTGTTGTAATTGGGGTTGTGCAAAATCGTATCGTGTGCAATTAATCGTCAGAAAAACTTTAATGGATTATTTTTTGGCACATGACGATTAATCCGATTAATGCCAGCAGGCAGGCAGACTGGAGATTTCCCTGGTCAGTCCACCTGATGCTCCTCTCTACTTCAAATAAGAAAAGCATTTTTTTTAAGTTGTGTAATTTATTAATCAAAACTCAGGTTTTACTTGATCTGTCGACACAATAAAAAAATTCATTTAGCTTGTATTTTGACACAATTTGGAACATATTTTTTACGGACAGCAAATCTTTCCCACTAAAGTGATTTAAATTAGTCATGTGACGAGGATATGAGGCATCCAGGGATTCCAGGGGATTAATAGTCATATTAATCGTTATCGGCTAAATACCACAATTAATCGTGAATAATGTTTTGCCAATATTGCCCAACCCTAGTTGTAATGACATTTATCTGAACATGTTTCTGTGTGCTTTGCTTGATATTGTGTATTGTGAACTTGTGTTGTTTTGTCTTCCTGCCTCTGGACTACAGATGTAAATTAGCAACTAGGCTATAATCTGGCTCATTTATACAGAAGTATAACACTGTTCATTAATGTGCACTGTCCTGATTAAATAAATGTGGTAAAAGCAGTCCATTTTATTTCAGGATTGTGATGTCATTGAGGTTTTTTTTCTTACAGAGACCTGAGCAGAAATGAAATTCGCGTTATCCACAAAGACGCTTTCCTCACCCTCTCAGCTCTCACTAACCTGTAAGTCGGACATTTTATGCTAAAATAAATTTAAAACTCCCGCTAAAGCTTTTTTATTATTATTATTTATTTTTTTCTGTTGGACACAACTCCTAACTGTTCCTGTGTGAACCGTTTTTGTAGAGACCTGAGCATGAACTCGCTGTCTGGGATTCCAACAGCCGGGCTGAGCTCCGTCAGTCAGCTGAAACTTTCAGGGAACCCACAGATGAAAAATGTGCTCCCTGCAAAAAACCTCCCAAAGCTCAGGTGTGCCATTCTCCTCCTCCTTCCTGTTGTTTTTGTTTGTTTGCTTCCACTATTATATTTACRGGCAAAACTGCACCTCTGTTAGCAAAAATATCTTACGAACCAGTGGGCAGATTTGAATGAAACTCAGTAAGTGATCGTTGAACAAGTTTACAGACACTGAGCTTGGTTTGGTGTGGTAGTAGCTGAGAGTTGTCTCCAACACATAATCCAACTAGATCACAAGATTTTTCRTTTAAAACTGTTGTGCAAGGCAGCATTTTGTTCGTATTTTCAGAATCAATATGAAAAGAAGAAAAAAAATTCTGCACTTTTCTCATATCTTTATGTTAAATGCATTAGATTATTTGTTAAACGTAAAAATAGTTTTGATAAAGTTATGGTGATGATTTTGTTGACGAACTGACAAAACGCAGCAAGAACTCCAAAACACTGCTGCAGAGAACACTGCCTAAAACTCAAGCAGTTAAGCTGTTGTTGACAATAAAACTCTGTTCCAGTTTAATGAGAAAACCAGACAAATCTGTTTTGTGTCCAGTTGTTGTCCCACGATGGAAAGCATTCCTCTGAAAAACCTGCAGAAAAGCCAAATATTTGCAGACACAATAAATGCAGCCGACCCCAGCTGGACTTTGACGGCCACTCTGAAATGATTGTCGTGTTTTTGTAGGTCCATCTCTGTCCCGTACGCCTACCAGTGCTGCGCGTTTGTTGGCTGTGAGTCACTGCCGAGGTTATCTGAGGACACTCACATGAAGAAATACTCAGGTGCGAGTGCTCCAATGCTCCAGTGGCCAATCTTTTCTTGGATCTGAGCAGCTGACATGTTAACTTGTGTTTTCTCAGAGAGCAGACTCACAAACTGTCTCTCTAGCTTAAATTTAAAAAAATGGAAGCAATTGTTTTACTGGATGACTTTATCATGTAACAATTATTTGTAGTTATTTACAGTTTTAGAACACAAACAATAACAGGAAGTGTATTTTTTTGTGTTTTGGCTGTGTAACATATTTCTTTTAAATGTCTTTTTTTAGGTGGAGAGGAGTCGGAACCAGTCTTGATGGTTTTGCACTGCTCTCCTTCACCAGGTAAACAACTAATTAAAGAGATCCGTGATTAGTTGTAACATTAGATTTTAGTTAATAAACATATTTTAACTGTAAAATAAAGACTGTAAAAATACTGTAGGATGTTCAGTTTTTATCATTTTTAAACTTAAGTTTAAAAATATATTACACAGATGGAGCCATTTTATGTACACGCAAAGCATTCTGGGTAAATGATGACGTGGATAGGTCCTCGGTGCGAGGCTGCTAGCGAGCTATATCCACCCTGAAGGTTAATCTTGGACAACATCTGACGATTGGCTCTTTTAAATGAAACCAGAGAGCGTTGACAGAGAGGAGAAGGTAGAAATGACTCAGCCTGGAACTGAAAATATGGATGGAGGACAACAGAGCTGCTTCATGGAAGAAACTCAGTTTAGCCTGTTGGCTTTAGCGCCGACAACTTATTGTCTTATAAGTATTAGCTTGGCGCTAGAGTGACAAACAATCTAAACTGAGGTCCTCCATCCGTATTTTCAGTTGCAGACTGAGTCATTTTTGCATTCCCCTCTCTGTCATGTGGATGGAGGACCTCAGTGCTGAGAGGAGAATGTGTAGCGCTGAGCTAATACATATGTATGGTGATAGCATCAGGGCTAATGCTAAAGCTAACAGGCTAAGCTGAGGTTCTTCTTCCATGAAGCAGCTCTGTTGTCCTCCATCTATATTTTCAGTTACAGGCTGAGTCATTTCTACCTTCTCCTCTCTGTCAACGCTCTCTGGTTTCATTTAAAACAGCCAATCATCAGATATTATCCAAGATTAACCTTCAGGGTGGATATAGCTCGCTAACAGCCTTGCACCGATGACCTATCCACGTCATCATTTACCCAGAATGCTTTGTGTGTAAATAAAATGGCCCCGTCCGTTTAATATATTTGTAAACTTTAAGTTTAAAAATGATAAAAACTAAACAGCCTGCAGTATTTTTACAGTCTTTATTTTACAGATAATATATATGTTTATTAAATAAAGTCTAATGTTACAACTAATCATGGATCCCTTTAAAGCTTGGAAGTGTCTGTGTGTTAACTGGTGATTTGAGATGATCCTAAATGGTCTCACTGTTTCTCCCATCAGGAGCCTTTAAGCCCTGCGAGCACCTCCTGGGTAACTGGATGATTCGCCTGACAGTTTGGTTCATCTGCCTGGTGTCACTGGTTTTTAACAGCCTGGTGCTGGTGGCCACCTTCTCCTCCGTTCACCGAGCCGCAGGCCGTTCGCTCTACCTGACCCCGTCTCTGTCTCCGGCCCGGCTGCTGATGGGCCTGCTGGCCCTGGCCAACCTGCTCACAGGCCTGTATGTCGGGGTGCTGACGGCGCTCGACGCCGCCACGTGGGGATCCTTCGCCGAGTTCGGGGTGTGGTGGGAGACGGGCCCGGGCTGTCGGATCACCGGAGCCCTGGCCGTGTTTTCGTCGGAGTGGTCGGTGTTGCTGCTGTCGCTGGCAGCTGTGGAGCGGAGCATCGCCGTGCAGATGATTCTGGGGAAAGCGGTGATGTCGCCCCGGAGGAATGGCAGCAGCCACCGCAGATGTTTGAGAGGAAARCGACGCATCGGTCTGGCCGCAGGCCTCCTGGGACTGCTGGCCGCCGCCGGGGCCTGCCTGCCTCTCCTCACCTACAGCAACCAGTCCTCGTCTCCCCTCTGCCTGCCGTTTGCTCGTGGTGAGAGTCCAGCCCTGAGCATCACGGTCATTCTGGTGCTGCTCAACGCCCTGGCCTACCTGTTCACTGCCYCCGTGTACACCCAGCTGTACTGCCGCCTCGGCCGGGTGGAGCTGGCAGATCCGGGTCAGACCGGCGCCCTGCGTCATGTGGCCTGGCTCATCTTCACCAACTGCATCTTCTTCTGCCCCGTGGCGGCGTTCTCCTTCGCCCCTCTCCTGACCGGCTCGGCGGCCGGCGGCCCGGAGATCGCCAAGTCGGTCACTCTTATTTTCTTCCCGCTGCCTGCGTGCCTGAACCCGGTGCTGTACGTGTTCTTCAGCCCGGCCTTCAGAGAGGACTGGCTGAGGCTGCGCAGCCGCAGAGCTCTGAGCAGAGAGACGAAAGTTGGAACTGAAAGCCCCTGCGATGACGGCGGCGGGGGCTCGGAGCTCACAGACGAAGGCTCCTCCACCTACCTGACCCTTGACTGCGGCGCGTACTCGCAGCTCTGCGGGGAGACGGTATGCGAGCAGTGCCAGGCGGCGCTGCGTGCCCAGACCTGCTCCTCCCCCTCAGCCTCCACAGGCTGCAGACATTTGGTGAAGTCTCACAGCTGTCCCACCCTCCTGGAGGGAGCTGCAGCCTGCCAGCGCTCCAAGGGGTTTTGGGCAGACAGCAGCACGCCCTCCGCTCAGTCCGAGTACGCCGACGAGGGGGACTCGTTTGTGTCAGACAGTTCGGACCAGGTCCAGGCCTGTGGCAGAGCCTGCTTCTGCCAGAGCAGAGGACTTCCTCTGGTACACTACTCATACAACATACCTCGAGTCAAGGACTAAGGAGGCCTCCAGACCTCTTTTGTCATGTGAATTTAGTTTCTCCAAGATTAACTATATTTTTATATCTAAAAAAAATGTGCCAACTACCCTGCAATTCATCAAGCACTTATATTTTTAATTACTGTCAACGAACGTTTAACCAGTTGTTTAAAGGGAACTTGGCTTTTAGAGCAGCTTTAGGTGTCGATGTTACAAACTGCTCCACAGACTCTTCCATCGGTGCTGCCTGCCTCTTTCACTCTTCAGCGCTTCACTCATAAGCTTTTTAAATGGATCCCTCCTCCCAGCAAATTTTAAGCCTTCACAACTGATTTTATGTTTTGATTTTMATTTTTTAATGTATGTAAATGTAGCAGATGTAAAATTCACTCTAGATTATTTTGTGAGAATGTAAAATTCAGGTGATTTTCACCAAACTAACCTAACGGCAACTTTAATCCTAACTGCTGCAGAAATGTTAGGTTTAGCTCTATATAAACGTGTCTTTGCTTTAAGTTTCTAAGACTCAGAATGTGATAAAAGTAGCAGACATCACTGTTTCAGCAACAGCCGCCGATGGTCGTTTCGGCGCGTTATTTATTGTTCAGGTGGAGACGATTTCAGGTGTATAAAAGGTGGCCTCTGAATGATCAGTACACACAAAGCATTAGAATCTAAATCTGTTAATTTATTTGTAAAGCGTACAGGATTAGGTCATCTTTAGATGTTAAGGTAGTCTTATATTCTTAGTTTTTCCATCATGTTTGATTCAGATCAAAATGTTTCGAAACTGTAATTTAACAAATCCAGCTAAAAGTCTCACAAATTATTTGGAAGCGCAAATAAAGGTACTCAAAAGTGTAAAAACAAACCAACATTTTTTAAAAAACGCTTTCAGATAAGAAAGATTAATAACTTCATTTATAAAGATGCTAAAAAGCTGCAAATTATATATTTATTTAAATGAATGACACAAATGGAAACCACAATTGGTAAGTGGGCAGTGTTCAAACATGTTTTCTTATTTTTGCTTATAAGAAAGTTTTATCTCCAGTTTTTAAAACTTATAATCCTGAATAAATCAGCATCTAGTTTACACATGACACATTTAATGTAGGTTTTCCTTTGTGTAATTTAATTATTGTTTTAGTAACTCTAAATGTAAACATGATGGTAAAATAAATGGAGAAAATAAGACTCAACAATTACATAAGGTTCAACTTTCTAATTATTCACTGCATTTTTTAAATTTTGTTAAATTTTTATGTTTATTTTCAATTTGGTTTTAGTTTCGTTATAAGTTTTGTCATTGGAAACTCATTTTTCTCCTGTAAGATGAGTAACCGTGGCCGTGGAGAGCGGACCTGAGTCAGACTGGGTGTGACAAAAGCCCGACGGATGTTTGGTGTGCTGAAGCATGACTGCACACATTAAGGTGGTCACACCCTCCGGAGCATGTGCGTGCACGTCATCCGAGCGCTCAGGAATTCAGACAATGCGGGGGAGACGTTTCTGAGACTTAAAATTTCGACCTGCTTTGTTTTCACCGCGGCGTCGCGTCCACGATTGTTTTTAAAATCAACCAAAAAAAAAAAGTTTTGATTCAGACGCCTGATGCTCCAGCTGCTGAAAACTGTACAAAACTTTGTTTTTTTTCTTTTCTTGTTTGTAAATTATTTGAAAAGAAAACAGACTTAAGAATGGGATGCTAACCAAGGAAGCTACCTCCATGACTGTAGTGGCTGCCAGCAGTGCTTTGTTTAAAAAGAAAAAATAATTAAAAAAAATTTCTGTCAGGCTTTATGTTGAATTATTTGGCTGTAAATCATTTTAGTTATGCGCAAAATGTGGGAGGAAAATATGTACTGTATACTGTGATTTTTATTTTTAACCAAACCCTAAACTATGAATCTTCTTTTTTTTTTTCTTTTTTAAATTCAAAAGCTGCAGATTATATAAAAGATTTCAGATAATTTCAGTTTAAGTAGAATTTTATGTATAGTTGTTTGTGTCAAATATCCCCATTCTTTTCTCTGCTCAAGTAGAAAATCAGTTCCTTAAATTGTGAATGAATAAAGATTGAATGGACGTAGTGGTGCGTTTTTTGCAGCTGTTTTATGAGCTTTATTTTCATTTCTCTGTTTGAGACCACAGAGACATGTTATTTGTGAAGCTTCTTGCCTWTTTTGCTGCATCACTTCAAAAGGAATATTTAAAGTTTTCAGTGCCTGATTTTACATCCAGCTATAACTGAGCAATGCAGAGGTACTCAGAAAACTTTAATATTTCCTCTGTTTCTTGAAACTTTTTTGTAATCTCTTGATTTTGAATTAAATCCTAAATAGCTGATTAAACTGAACAGATTATAAAGAGGGGTTGCAAGTTTTACTTTTGAGTTTTATCACTTTATAATAGTGTTTGACTCATGTTTGAGAAATCAACTCTGCAGGCGGAGCTGCCTAATTGCCTGCTGCTACAAAGCTCCGCCTGTTTTGGCCAAAGCACCTCCCACCTCCTGGAGCTGAGTCCTCYGCCGAGCCCCGCCCCACAGAGCACCCCTGCCCTTGAAGCATTGTTGTGAAGACACACTGAAGTGGGAGTGTATGAAACGGAAGGAGGTTCTTAAATATACAAACTGAAGGTAACATAGTTAATGATTGTAGTCTAGAATTGAACTATGAGCCCCCACCCCCTCCAAATATGTAAAGATTTGATCACTGTGATAAAGAACATTTTGCAGATGACTCTCTGCTACTACCACACCAAATTTTATAACAAAACTCTGGTTTTCGGTTGCTATAGGGTTGGCTCCTGAAGTAAGTCAGTTATACAGTAACCTGGTAAAAACCAGACCCTTGTCCTTCACTTTGCTTCGTACGAGGGTCTGGACTCTCAGCTATAGAGAAATGATTCTTGCTGGAGGCGTGGCCTCTGCTGAAGTTTAAAATGATTGGATCTGTTGGCCACGACGTATGTCGCTGTGAAGGAGGCTAAGCTAAGAAGCTAACCGGAAATCACGTGCGCTTTAAACAACCCTACTGAGAGGAGAGAAGTGCCGAGCTGAATGAGATGATTGTAAATGAGAGCTGCTGCTTTGTTAAGCAAATTTAATTTAATTTGGAAGCCTTATCAACACGGACTGGCTTCATTCACTTCCTCCACTGCCGTATGCTAAACTAACTAGCAGACACTGCACAGAAAATTGACGTTCTGTTCTCTGATTGGCCCGAATGAAATGCTCCCGAAGAAATCCTTCTCTATGGGAGAAATCCCAGACAGAGCAGTGAKGGGAAACTAGAATTGAGKGGAACTGCGTGGGAAGGCAAGGGCRGCGCTAGGATATACAGMGGTTAGACAATGAAARTGAAACACCTGTCATTTTAGTGTGGGAGGTTTCATGGTTAAATTGGACCAGCCTTCATTAATTGCACATTGCACCAGTAAGAGCAGAGTGTGAAGGTTCAATTAGCAGGGTAAAAGCACAGTTTCGCTCAAAATATTGCAATGCACACAACATTATGGGTGACATACCAGAGTTTAAAAGAGGACAACTTGTTGGTGCACGTATTGCTGACATCTGTGACCAAGACAGCAAGTCTTTGTGATGTATCAAGAGCCACAGTATCCAGGGTAATGTCAGCATACCACCAAGAAGGACCAGCCACATCCAACAGGATTAACTGTGGATGCAAGGGGAAGCTGTCTGAAAGGGATGTTATGGTCTAAAACCAGGTGTTTCAGTTCCATTGTCTAACTCCTGTAGATGAACTATGCAGTGATTTCTGTAAAAAAAAAAAAAAAAAAATCGTTCAGCTCTGTCTATTGGTTCCTGAGAGATTTTGCTAACAAATGGACTTAGGTGATGTGTTGATGCAAATTTACATTAGTAAATAAGTATTTTCTTAAGACTACATGTTTAAAGCGATGTCTGATTTTTTTTTCTAACAAACTAAAACATTATAATAATGTAGTTAATAGTGAGGTTATAAGAGGCCTAAAGCAGAATTTTATTTCGAGGCGTTTTTACTGTTAAACTTTTCAAAATCATGAACACCTCTTAATGCTGTCCAGGCTGCAGAGAGGCCCTGCAGGACCGTCTGTTTCTGAACACTGATCGAAACAAACCACAGGAAATATGTACATTTCCTGCATCCAAAAAAGACCTGCTGAGTGATGCACGAGACCAAAACTGCCATGTGTTTCACTGCTGACATGTTCTCCGAGGGAAAGGCATCCCAGCTACTGCCCCTYCCCCCTCACGCACAGATCTGCTGTACAAGGCACATTAGGATCATGCATCACACTTCAGGCATTACMGCAGCTTTGTTTCAGGATAACTAAGCTCTTAAACTCTCCTTCCCCATTCCACTGAGCTTAACACGTTTGGTTTTATGTTTACTATTTTGCAATATTGTCCACCATACATCCATCAAACCATTACATAAACAGACAACAGTAAGATTTATTGTTTTAAAGCACACTTTACACACAAACCAGTCCAAACATTTGAGCATCAGAACAACAAATTGCACACATTTCCAATTATATTTTCATTATAATTTCATATTTAACTAAACATTAAATTTATATAACCGTCTGTAAAGCGCAATAATAATAATAATGATAAAAATAATAATAAAACCAAAAATGATTCAATGATCGACTGAAAACTTAGAGCATGAGATGAGTAGTTTAACAGAAACAAAAGATATTCACTACAAGTAAAGTTGCACAAAACCTTTTGTCCCAAACTATTTCATTACTCTTAGTTTTCCAGGTTAATTCTGAAATGTGGGTATGCACTTAATGTAAACAAAGATTTCTGCTATGATTGACCCACATTAGTCTGGTGAGTTTATCAATTTAGCTCATTTTGAAAACTCTTCTGCAAACTTTACTTAAATCTGAGTGTAAATTCATATCAATATATTAAATTTAACTGTTTTTTTCCCATCACAAACATCTACATTGATGTGGCCATTGTTGGCCTATCTCCAGTCACTTTTTTTCTGTTGGTAAACGAACACAAGTCAGTCACAACTTTTACTTATAATTTTTAAATGTATTGACACATTAATCACTGATCTGAGGGGAAAATCTGTGCAGATTTTCTTACTTTGTGAGCACTTTCCAACACCAAATCTCTGCAGCAGAAAAACGAATTGCCAAAACAAAGGTTCAAATGAGATGAGCACAGCTTTCGATTTAAATTAAACTTCTTGTGGCACAAACGAGTCAGCATGTTGGAGAGTAATCCTTTCTCCTCTTTCTTCTCAGCCGGAACGTCTCATTTGTTGGCTTCTTTTTTGTCTTCTTTGGCAATTTGAGCTGCGAGCCAGAAACGAACCAATATCAAAAAACATTTACATGTTAAAACTGCACAAAATCTAACTTAATGATTTTTAGTTAAAAAAAAATACTAGATTATAAATCTCTACTGGTGTATAAAGCAGTGGCGCCCTGACTGGTCTGTAGTGAGATACTTACGGCGAACCTCCAGCTTACACTCCACTGTATCCTCCCCCTGGTCGTTGACAGCTTTGCACATGTAGACCCCCCCGTCGAACGGACAGGGTTTACGGATCTCCAGCGTCACAATCCCCTGCTTACTCAGCATCCGGTACTTGGCTTCATTTGAGATGTCCATTTTGTTTTTGTACCAGGTCACTTTGGGCTGACAAAAAATAAAAATAAAAAATAGAAAAAAAAAGAAAATACAGTTTCTCATTTCTTGTTTTAATTCTGTCTGAAAGGATCTCTGGGATAAAATCAAATATTGAGCAATTCTCTTGGAAGACTTTAAAGGGGACATGTGTGAAATTCAAATTTTTTTAGCCAATAAATAAATTTTGTTGTACTTGGAGTCTGTAGGAGGCAGGAAAGTTGAATTTAGTTTCTCCTATTGTTGTGTAGATGTCTTTAAATTCTGTTTGGGTTGTACTTTTCAACCAGTTCTGTTTTCTTTATTCTTTAATAAGTTTTCTGAAGTATTACATCACAGTATTTGCGATTGACTTGCCAACTACGATTTGGTGGTCTTCATTCTCCTCTGGTTCTGGGTCAGACTCTGGCTCCAACTTGTAAGGCTGGATGAACAAGTCTTCCCTTGTTCACATCTTTTTAATTTATTTGCAAATAAATAAGTTTCTGTGCAAATATTAAAGTCGTATTTCTACTAGAATGGACTGGTCTGGAAGCTGGAGGGGGGCGGGGTTTGAATGACCTCGTTTGGATTTAAGGAGACAGCCTCAAAATGAGTTGATCTGAGACACATCAGCACTTGTGGAGTTACACTAAGGAGGAATTCAGACCAAAGCATTGCAGTTCCACTTTATATAGACCGAACTGAATGATTTAAATGTAAAAAAGAAGGATTTAAAAGCATCATATGTCTCCTTTAAGTTCTGCAGGAGTTATCAGCTGCTGTTCAACCCAACACAAGGTTTCCAGTGTTGCGACTGAACGTGAGTACCTTTGGTATTCCTCGCACCGCACAGCTGAGGGTGGCGTTGTATCCGGCTATTATGGATCGATCCACCAACGGATGTGTGAACTTTGGCGCTTCTGAGAAGTCGTGCTTCTTATAGGTCGGTGACTTGTAGGAGATACCTACAAAATAAAAGCAGGCAATCATGAGGTATTTTATTCTCCTGTTAGACTTTTGTGTGTATTTGTTTGTTACACGTTACCTGTTTTCTGGATGAACACGCTGTCCTTTGTGATGCAGGGTTCTGGACTGAGCCCCACCACGTTGATGGAGTAAACTCTGAAGATGTACTCGTTGCCCATGATGAGGTCAGAGACGACACAGTGGGTTCGTCTGCAGTGATCGTGGACCGTGTACCACTCCTTCATGAGTAATAAAGAATGGTTCAGCAGTTTCTTAAAATTTGAAACACTTTCTAACAAAATGTCAAAAGCACTCCTGGCTGTGTGAACACTTCTAAAACACTYTATTCGTCCGTACATTTTTTGGCACGCATCTTGTTCTGCGTTTTTTTGTACTATTTCAGCAAACATTCAGCAGCTTCAGGACATTTCGGCTACGGCATTTTGTATTTCAGCAATTTATGTTTTGAAAATTTTTAGCCTTTTCTGTATTTTTTTCTCGTTGAAAATAATTGAGTTGTCTTCAATATCTTGAAAACCCTTCGTATTCTTTGCCACTCTTTTCAACTTTTATTCTGTTTTTTTATTATTATTTCTGCTAATTTCAGCTAAATTAGCTTCCATTTTGCCAGCTTATTGATTTTAGCTATCCTGACCTTTTCTGCTTTTTGTCTGCTAATTGAAACATTTTTGCACTTAGAACTTTTTTCTGCTAACTTGGGCTTTTTGTGCTTCTTTCAGCTGCTTTCTGCTAATTTCAGCTGTTTTCTGTGTTTCAGCTACTTTTTAGCTAATTTCAGCAAATTTTAGCGTTTTAGCTAAATTCCCCTGTTTGGGATAGTTTTAGCTTTTTTACTGCTGAATTCGGCAAACATGCATATTTTCAGTTTCTTTGTGTTAATTTCAGCTATTTCAGCTGCTTTARTTTAGCTGTTCTTCGACTAGTTTTAGCTTTTTTCAGCTATTTCAAAACAACTAGCAGGCATTTCTGTTTTGCTCATTTGAAATCTTCACTCTTATTTCCCTGTCTGCTAATTTTAATTAGCTTTATCTACTTTTAGCTTCTTTTTGCTGGTTTTTGCTACTTATTTTGTCCTTGTCGTTGTCTTTCTTCAGATTTTTCACTTCAGTTGTCCTACTTTAAACAAAAGTGAGTAGTTCAAATTTAAGATAAGATTAGATAAGATAAAACTTTATTGAACCTACAGTTGGGAAATTTGCACATTACTGCAGCTCAATACAGGAGAGGGTGAGACAGAATAAAGAAAGATAAAAAACACTGTACACATGTGATATTTAACAATGTACATATACTCATATACATAAACACATATGTGTGCGTGTATATCTCYTATAGTACAGTAAATAAATGAACGTATACGAAGGTGCATATTAGTGATGGTAGTGTAGGTGAGTGAGTTGTCCAAGTGACTGATAACATGATTTAACTTGCATAAACAGCTTTGCTTTTAAACCTTTCCAGCTTCAGAAGCTCTCAGCAGAAATCTTTCAGCATTGAGTAGCCTATACACGCTGCATTTTCACATGAAATGCAATTTCTCTAGTTTCTTTAGATTTTGCGTTCAAGGTGCCAGGCTTGAAGCAGACCTTTTTAGAAAGCCAGGTGATATCCATTAAGACCACTTTAAAGTATTAAGGGAAAATCTGGCTCCTGTAAGGGCACTTTTAGATTAAATGTGTCAAATTTAATTGTCTTAAGTTTAGGTAAAACTAGAAATGACCACATAAATGGATTCCACTGCTTGTTTGCACTAATTAAAATGTGTCAAAAACATCTATTACTTTTTATAAAGTAAGTGAAATTAAAGGAGAGCAGCTCTTTGTTCGTTTCTGTGGAACACAAATGAAACACGATATGAGCAGATTTAAACTACATTCATGCTCGCTGCTTTTATCTCTGACATGTAGCAGGCAGCCTGTTATTGGTAACATGATGATCTGTATCTCAAAGCGCACCGTGCTACCAGTAAAATTAATTTGAGCTAATAATGACTCAGGTGAAACCCGAACCATGTGCCACGGTGGCTGGGCCGGCTCTGCATCACTGCACWGATGATCCAGACCAGGTCAGGACTGCGGGGATGTGATTAGGACATTCCTGGGCAGAGCTGATCCTGGCAGGAGCGGGTGGAGAATGATGGAGTCCTCGCAGACTGACCCATCATGCATCACTTCCAGCTCGGCACCAGTTCTTTTAAAAGCATCTATTATGTGTCAGTTTGTTCAAATGGCCTAGATTTCAGCTGTGACCACGATGTGCATCAGAAAACTGATATAACTCGACCAAATAATGAGGAACAGAATTTTTTGTGAAGCTATATTCTGAAAAATATATGAAAGGTTTATGTGATTTTACTCRATGTTGCCGGACATATGATAATTATTGTATTAATACACAGTTTTTATCTGGCAACCCTGCTGTTTTGCTATAAATCAACAAGGTTCTCAGATTAGGAGTCCAGATCAGTCATGTTACTTTGACACAATGATTTATTGTTTCCATTCAAGTCTCTTTAATATAATTTGATGTTAAGGTTTACATTTACTGCCCTGAAGAGAATCACTGACATGAAATTCATTTAGCTTTAGTCTGTGTTTACTGAATATGTTTATGCATATCTTCAAATGTGGAGATTTAAAATATAATTTTGTTAAAAGGCCTTCATAACATAAACCCTCAGATGGTCCTCAAGCCATACCTGATCTATAAAATACTAAATTGTGAATTATTGAATAAAAGAATCTGCTGTGTTTCAGAAACAGGACTGTATATTGGGAAAAAAATTGATATGATGCACCTCACAACATGGGCCACGATATGATCTATCGCAATATGTGTGATACTGTAAGCAAAGTGATATATTGCTATTTCTTTCTTCAAAAGATTGTAGTTTTAGAAAAACTCAGTATAAAGAGCACACCATGCATTACATGAAAAAMTATGTTGAATTCAGTTTATTTTCAAGCGATCAGAAGAACACTAAACAGTGAAWACTGCATTTATTTTTCACGTTTCTTCTAACTACAGCCGAATGGTTAGCTGACTGCTGCCAACTAGTGYTCGGAGGCTAAACWACAACACAAAACTGAACCACTTAAAAAATCGATACTGTGCTTTTGAGAATCAATAAAGTATCAGAAAATTAAATATGGCAATATTTCAGTGTATCGATATTTTCTTACACACCTAGAAAGGGTTAATAACAAATATGCTTTAGTCATTTAGAGTTTTTGCTTACAGAATATAATCAGGTTTGTTAAAATAATAATAAAAAACAAACTCTTTCCTAGATATGAAAGCAAACTTTATGAATCCCTTTATATTTGTTGTAAATATAGATGTTTTTATATTTAATTTGGATGCAGAGTAAGCTGTAGGACTAAAGTGTCTCACCATGGTCTTCTTGTCAGCTTTCTGAATGGTGTAACCGCTTATCTCACAGTTGCCGTCATCCTTTGGTGGTTTCCACTCGAGCGCCACGTTGAAACCCCAGCTATCCACATACCGCAGGGCCTCAGGTGGTCCTGGGAGATCTGCAGYCAGGAAATCACATTAACAGTTTTTACGGAGAGTTTTTTCCTCCTGTCTGTAGCCGTACGTGCTTACCTACAACCTGCAGCACGACTTTAGCCACGTCTTCCACATTCTCGATCTGCACCTGCAGATCGTACTGKCCCGAATGTTTTCTCTCTGTCCTACGGATGAAGAGGATCGAGTCTACTTCACTGTTCCTCACGCTGGCGAACGAGGAGTCCAGAGGTTTCCCGTCTTTACTCCAAATAACTTTTGGCCTGGGCTTTCCCTGCACACCAACAAGAGACAGGATTTAGGGGCGGCTGTGGCGGAGCGGTTAGGGGAGTCGTCCTGGAACCAGAAGGTTACTGGTTCGAWCCCCCGTCCAGCCATCTCAGTCGTTGTGTCCTTGGGCAAGACACTTCACCCACCTTGCCTACTGATGATGGTCAGAGGGTCCGGTGGCGCCGATGTATGGCAGCCCCACCTCTGTCAGTGTGCCCCAGGGCAGCTGTGGCTACAGTGTAGTTTGCCATCATCAGTGTGTGAATGTGAGTGTGAATGGGTGAATGTCTGTTAGTGTAAAGCGCTTTGGGGGTCCGGAGGGACTTGAAAAGCGCTCTATAAGTTCAGTACCATTTACCATTTACAACGAGGACCTCATTTTCAACATTAATTTCTAATTTTCTTTACATTTTTTTTATTTTCAACCACAATTTTGTGGAGGAATTGCTGAGTTGGCTGACATTTGTTGTAAATCTTTTGGTGCAGCATGCAATGATTCAAAAAAACCTTTGAACAATCTGGCAGAAACATCAACAAACCTCAAAAAATAGTAAAAAGTAAAGTACAAATCATTCTATTTTCATGGTTCTCCATTTCTAATGACCTGCTTTGATCAATTGGTCATTGTATGAATAAAAAAAAATAGACTACCTAAGAATTGCATTGTTTTTACCTCTGCTGTTAATATTTTTCTAAGTTTCTTTAGATCAGGGGTGCCAAAGCATTTTACCTAAGAGGGCCAAAACAAAAATGAATCTGTGGGCCGCGGGCCAAATGCAATAACATAATAAAATGAAATGCAAATACTTCTTTAGTAAAGTTATTTTATTTTAAGCTGGCAGCCAGTGTGATAGCCCACATTTTTTTGTTTATTTTTTGATAGCCAATGGATGTGCAGAAAATTTGACGTAAACTCGAGCAGCAAAAGCTCATGGGACTTTTCATAAATTAATATTTGAGTAMTTGTGGTCTTATAAAGTGTGCAAATCTAGATGTGTGCTTAAATCTAATGGCAATGYTCTCTTGTAGTGTATTTTGTGTTTAATTTTATCATAATTAAAAGATAAAGAAAGTGCCATGAGTTAAGACTATCTGCACTACAGTCCTTTATATAGTTGAACAATGGTTGGAATGACTAAGTGGAAACATGGTGTTTCTGGATAAAACAGGAGAACACAACCTAGAAGCAGGACAGTTTTGYCCCACGGGCCCCACTTTGGGAACCTCTGCTTTWGATCCTTRAAATATTAAGGCCAAAGCTAAAGTGAAAGACAGTTTTGTGTCCTCTGAACAATTAAGAAACCCCCAAAACTTAAAATCCATTRATGACTTTCTCTCTTTTTGAACATTTTACATATTTTAGAAAAAAAACAAAACCCTCTGCTATTGTGACAGCGTAAAAGAAAGAGTTTAAGCCAATGAGGTGCTACCTGGAATGGAATCATGATGTTAACAGTCTCTCCAACTTTCCTGACCAGAGTTTGGCGCAGATATCTTGGGAGCCAGATTTTGGGGCGTTCTGTAAAAATAATAATAATAAAAAAATTAGAAAAACTAAAATAATGACAAAAACTCTAAAAGTTGGTCGTCAAATAAAGGAGAAATTGGTCTGAACTTAGCAAAGKTGTGGTAAAGATGTCACTAACCTCGCAGCCTTTGTGACCTGACTAAGCAGGGTTCAGTGAAACTCTGGAATACTCACGCATGATTTCTCTGATGGTGACTGGTTGAGCCAGAAGAGCCGGGGGACTGGGTCCCGCCATGTTGTAGGCTCGCACGCGGAACATTAACTTGTCTCCGGTGGTTAGGTTTTTGATGGTTACAGATGTCCTCTCTGACAGACCCTGAACTGCAGGTWTCCATTCATCAGCTGCCGCCAGAGAGCACACGACACGTCAAACTGACAGGCCTCCGATGCCAAATTACACCAGAAAAATGTGACAAATGATATACGAATGTGTCCTCGGCTTTGCTTTAATTCACTCGTTCCGGTGCTATATTTAAGCCATCCTTATCGACCGGCTGCAGGCAGCTGCATGGCTCCTACACTTACTGCCCTCCTTGCAGCACTCGATGCCGTAACCCTCGAGCTCCGCGGCGCCGATCCTCTCTGGAGCTCGCCACTTCAGCGTGATTGAAGTGTCGCTGACGTCGTCAACGTGCAGTCCGGTGGGCTCGCTTGTAGGGGCTGAGATAGGGGCAGGGAGGCGGGTAAATGTAGCTGTTAGTCAGTTAAGGCATTTATGTGCTTAACCCTTCGGCTTCCCTTAAGTCAAAGTGACTCATGAGGCCTTTTTGACCCGAGGGCAGCAGGAGGGTTTAATCAGGATGAGTAGTTCAGATGACTCTGCGATTGTAGCAGAAACACCCAAAGGACCTTGCAATAGAACACAATTGTTGGTGCTTGCTTYTTTACAGCAGCAGATTTACTTATTTGAGGGTCTTTCTGTGTGTTTTAAGTGGGTTTTCTCTGAGTATTTTAAAATACATGCAGGTTTCGACAYCCTTCAGACCCAGGCCTCCATTGAAATAGATCTCAATGGGATTRGTCTGGTTAATAAAAGGTAATAATCATAAAAAAAATGATTTAGCTCAGTGTTTAAAAGAGTCAAGTGTTGTAACAAACAGCTTGTATGTGAGATATAGCCCATCTGGCATTAAACTACAATAAATATCAGGATTTATTTGAGTATTTTTTTTTCAGTATCAGAGCATAAATATATACATTTAAGTAAAGACGGGCACAGACTGTAGCTTATTACTCTCTTTAATCCATTTATGTCAGTGTTTTGTCCTCAAACTGCCATGTCAAAGTATGCTGCAGAATGCAACATTGATAGAGAAATGTACTGCATCAGGCTTGATGTTTTGTTTCTAGCTTACTCAGGGTCAGAGGAGGAGCTGAAAAAAGAGAAAATCACCAATAAATTCACACTTCATGAAGCTGGGATTTTGTTTTATCACATGACCCAGCATGTTTGCATTAGTCGGTGTTGATTCCTCTGACACATGCTTTAAGCAGTTTCACAAACACTTTTTAACTGAGTGTGTGAAGTTTAGAGAAACGTTGGTTCGGGCTCACCGACTGGCACAAACGGCTGCGAGGCGGGACTGTGGCGGGACATGCCGATCCCGTTGACGGCGTAAACCCGCATCTCGTACGGCACCCCTTCGATCATGCGCCTGGCCTCGTAGGTCGTTTCAGGGTAGGGGTCAAAGTTCAGTCTCATCCACCTGTAGCTCCTCAGCTTCTTCCTCTCCAACACGTAACCTGAGAATTCAGGCAGCAGCACATTACTTTCATACTTAAAGAAAAGGTAACAATAAATGTTCAGATCCGTCACTAAACATGCTGAAAGCACACACTTTCCACAGATAAAAACTAACTTGTTATGGGACATTAAAAACGTGTCATTGCAGCCAGCCACCAGGGGGCGCTCATTCATTGTGGCTTCAACTTCCATCTGCGAGTCYAACTATAACATACGCTGATATTTTCAACATATTTAAAGAACATGACGTTTTATGTTTCAGTGTGTAGTGTTTTTATTTTTTATTACAAAATAATTTTTTTTCTCAGGAGTCCCACAAGGTCTAATTCTTGGTCTCCTTCTTTATCGCCACATCCTCCCATTTTGTATCAGGAGTCAAAATAAAACTCCTACAGGTCTATAATTTCAGTTACATGTAAGTAAATTAAATTTTTCATATTAAGTGTTTGTCTTGAAATTATTTAAAGCTAAACTGACAGATTAGATTCTAGTAGATTAAATATAACCAGTGTAAATATCTACAAACACTTGAGAGCGAGTCGGAAGTCTTGAAATCTGATACTGAACTCAGTTCAGAACCAACTTCACCAGTTCTCTCTTGTAGCTTAAAAAGCCCCAATATAGTCACCTGCYTCAAGCTTCTTTAATGGTGGAGAATGTGCTTTTATATAGAAATAACAGCTTTTATTGTCCCGCAGAGGGGAAATTCAGGTGTCACAGCAGTATCCATTCAGATAATTTATAATAATTTTCCACTTCCTAATGTATGTTACCAAAATAAGTCTTTTGATAAGGTTTTACCAATTACTGGTTGTCCGCCATCAAATTTCGGGGGTTCCCACTGAACAATACAGGAATCTTCCCCCACACTCAGGATCTTTGGAGACTGGGGAGGATCTGGGACATCTGAGGAAAGAAAAACAGTCACATGAATGAAGACAATTCAGTTTATTATTATTATTATCATTATTTTTTTACTTTTCCATTAAACAGTATTATCTTACCAACAACTTTCACACGGATGTCGGCCGTATCTTCTCCTGCTGGGTTTCGGACCACAACAGAGTAGACCCCCTCATCCTGCCTCTCAGCTCCTTCAATAGTGAAGATACAGTGGCCCTTTGTGGATTCCACGTGGACTCGGCCYTCTCCCTCTGTGACGACCTGCAAGGTGAGGATCAGAGTCACTAGATAAAAAAAACTGTTCCTGACAAAAGTTCCCATTTCTAAAGATTTGGCTGTTGCTGAAGTGGATTTCCTTTTATTTTGGCTAAATTTGAAGATAAAGATGCTAACCATATAATCGTACATGCATGTTTCTGAAATCATAAAATTAGATAAGATAAGATAAAACTTTATGTTCATGTTTATCAATATCTGATAATTCAATGATTTTTGCCTCATAAATCCAGAATCGATGTTTTAAAATGATCATTTTGATTTGATAATGTGTTTTTCTTTCCTTTCTTTATACAACAGTATATGAACAGTTAATATGTTACATGTTATAAATAACGCTTTGAATGATCACAGTTTGGGGTTGGTAGTTTAATTATTTAATGGTCTGGTGAAAATTCAACTCCAAATGTACTCAAAGAGCTATCTAGATCAGGTAAGATATTTACTGTCCATAACCTGAAGGATTGCTTCYAGTTCACTAGTTGATCTCGAGAAACAATTTATTCCTGCTTGAAAAGTATTGCAGCTGTTGCACTTGTGACTTAAAGTAAAAAAAAAAACTTAAAAAACAAAGTAAACTACAGATACAGCAGTATTTGTGCTGCGTTTGACCGTATAAAATGTGGAAGAGATGAGGTTTGGTCAAGTTTGTTTCTTACTACAGAAAAACTGAGCTCAGAAAACACTATTCTTTTGATTATATTGTCACTGAATGTAAATACTTCACAACTTCACAGTAGTACTTTCTTTTATCATTCAGTAAATTTTCTGGATGTTAGATTTCTTTGGAATTTTTTGTTCCAACACACCTGATGAAAAAAAGAAAAACAATTCGGCCAGCTGTGCAGGAGACTAATAATGAACCAATCAGGTGTTCTTTAAAACGTTTAGCATGGAAGGCTAACAGAAATTAAATACCAAATAAAATATACTTACTGCTGAACSTCCTGTGACCTGAGTCTGAGAGAAAATTCAACACATGCACTTATCTTAAATGTGTGCTGAGTTACTGCATGCAGGTTTTCCTGTGTTCCAGTTTTGGAGCATTTAATTTAAAAATATCACCCATCCCCTCGCATGCCAAAGTGTTAAAAATCTTGTGTGATCATGGTCAGTGATGGGAATTACTCTCAGCTGCAAAACCACAGAAACTTAGCTCAATATCTGCAAAAATGAATGACTTGTAACCTTTTTAGTGTTTTCTAATTTTGAAAAGCTTTTGTTGCTGCTTTGAATGAGATGGACTCCAAACCTCATTCAGTTGTAGAGGTAAGTTTAATTATTACTTTTTGCGAGTTTCACTCAAATCCATCCAGTGGTTCAGGGGATATTTTGCTAACAGACTGACTAACAAAAACATGCACAAACACAGACATGATCGCCAACCATGAACTGACAGCTGGTGGAGTCACAGAAAAGCTTAAAAAAATCTCAATTTATCAGGTTAATTAGTTGAAACATCCCTTATTAAATGTTTTATTGAGATTTTACTGGATTATTAAAGGGAAATCGGTGAAAGGTCGTATAAAGTTGTCCATCAGCTTTCTTCTGTACATCAAAAATGCTTTCAATAAGTGAACGACAACCCTGTTTCCAAAAGAGTTGCTTTGATTTGAATGTAAATAAAGCAAAATTATATATCATAAAAAGGTCATTTATTATCTATGATTAAAATCATTTACTGGAGTTAAAGCTTTCAATAACAACACAATTGTTTAAAATGACAAATAATTTATGGCATTTTTAAAAATGTAAACATTACAGCATTCAGACCTTTTTGGAAATGTGGTTGTGTTTCTGATTAAAGCAGTTGATAAATGCATAAAAAACTGGAAACAGCTAACAAGATTGCAACGTGCTCGCCTGTAAAGACATTTCAAACAAGCAGGAGTTGAAAGGATCACTTACCTCTCCATGGTTGAGGATCCAAGAGGCTGAGGTCTCCTCCCCGTGAGCTTTTCTACAACTAGCCTACGTTTAAGGACAGTAAGCAATAAAGCTGATGACACCTCAGAGGGCATCTATCTCTCTCTCCACCTTTAAATGTTGTTTTAAGATTATTTATTACTGGGGTGAGATTTCACAACCTAAAGAGCAAAAACTGCAACAAAGCTCACCTGCAGAGTTGTAAAGTAACAAAGTACAAATTGTTACTGTACTTAAGAAGAAATTTTGGTTATCTGTACTTTACCTGAGTTATTATTTTTCAGCGTACTTTTTGCTTTTACTCATTACATTTTTACACAATTACCTGTACTTTCTACTCACTACGTTTTAAAAAAAAGTAAGAAGTAGAAAGTCGTTACTCCTATTTTATTTCGAGTTGTTATTACTTAAAAATACTATCCTGATAAATTGTGTCTCCTGGACAGAGTGAYTTWAATTGTGGTTGGATGAGAAGTATAAATATATACCATTCTGACATGGTATTAGCTTGTACACAACCCATCACAGCTGCACGCCGTTAGAAAAAATATATTTTGGAGAAGTCGCCTCCCAATAAATGTCATTTTGGAAAATCTAACTGCTCACTTTTACTCAGTACTTTTACTTTTAATACTTAAGTAGATTTTGTGTCAGAAATTTACTTTTGATACTTAAGTACAAAAAATATCAGATACTTTAAGACTTTTACTCAAGTAATATTTTGAAGACTTTAACTTTTACCAAAGTATTTTTATGATAAGTTACTTGCACTTTAACTCAAGTATCACTTTGAGGTACTTTATAAAACACRGCTCACCTGTCCCAATATTATTCGCTTGTTGACTTAAAAACTATTTTTTAAGCACTGATGGGACTTTTAACACTTTCACATCAGTACAATCTGCCATTTTTGAGGAATAATTGTTTTATAAGTTTAAAAATGAAAATAAAGATTTCTGCTTTTATCCATCCTTCAGTTTTATGATGTAATGATGGATAATACGCAAACTAATTATTTGGCAGAACATTGCTTCATAAATGACCAGTCTATTCCTTTATTTACAGCAGGCTTTGCTCTTCCTTTCTTTACCTTCTCTTCTTTGGTCCAGATGACAGTGGGAGCAGGATCTCCAGTGATCGGGACYTCCAGACGCAGTTTGTTTCCCGCCACCACCACGATGGTTGACTCAGCGGTGCAACTCATGCAGTCCAGGTGGATCTTTGGAGGATCTAAAGCAATCCAAKGGTTAGAAAGAGGGTCTAGTCCTGGTTCTGTTTCTCTACAGGTGTTTGAGCTTGTGATGGCGTACCTTGGCGTGGCACGTAGTCGATCTTCACCTCTGAGGAGCCCAGAGAGCAGAGGCAGAAACTGGTAAATATTTAGACGCAAGTGTTCTCTTTGAAAGGTAAAGAGTTATTGTTACCCAAGAAGTTGAGTTTAGCAGAAAGGTTGAAGGCAAAACCATCCGGCACAAAGGTGTAGTCTCCCTCATCCTCCGGTTTGACGTCATCGATGGTCAGTTTGTGGATCCTTTGAGTTCACGAGGGGAGTTCAGGATCTGCTCAGTGTTTAGGATCTAATATTTAGGATGTTCAGGATCCTGACCTGCCAATGTGGGAGATGTTTATTCTGGCGTCGGCCTTGACCTCTGCACCGTTCTTGTACCAGGTTCCCCTCACGTTCTCATCCGAAACCTCACACTTGAAAACCGCCTGGTCCTTGGCCTTCACCGTCAGGTCTGCGATGCTCTGGTAGACCTCCAGTTCTTTCTCTGCACAGCCGGGAGGAAACAGACGCTCAAAATGCACACATGCATTTGATTTAGAAAAAACACAATGCCAGAGCACGTATGAGAACATTGTGAACAGTAAAAGTTGTTCTTTTGTGTCATAGCAACAGAAAAGAGAAGAAAAATTCATCAGATTTAAGATTTGTTAAGATAAACCAGAGAATTTGTACTTCCTGCAAAAATGCAGTGTGAATTTAAAATAAATAAATAAATAAATAAATAAATAAATAAATAAATAAATAAATAAAGTATATAATTGCTTAATATTGAAACATTTTATTGACGAAAGTTGCTGAAGAAGCTGAAAATGCTAAAGAGCAAACCTGTTAGTGTGAGTTACATTTAATTAACAGATGATCGATGCTGAAATTAGGACAACAAAAGTAGAATAATAGTAGAAAGACAGCAAAACAAGTGTAAAAAAACACAAAAAGAGAAAAAAACATATCTTATATCAGCAAAAAATTAAAATACTTTTTTATCTAAAAATAAATGTAATGAGGTAAAATTAACTAATGGGGAAATAAGAATCTAAATTTTCAAATGAGCAAAAAACAACAAAAAACAAGTATTTGTAGTTTGTTTTGAAATAACTAAAACTGAAACTAGTCTAAAAATAACAAAAAGTAGCAGAAGTTCTAAAAAGTAGCTAAAATACAAAAACAGCTGAAATCAGCAGCTGAAAGAAACACGCATAAGTTCAAATTAGCAGAAGATTAGCTTAAAAGGTTAGAATGATACCTTATAAAAGCAGAAAAAAGCTAAAATTAACAAAATAGAAGTCTGATGAAAGCTGAAATTAGAAATTAAAAAAACGTTTTTAAAGGTTTTATTTTTCATTTTCAAGTAGAAATAAAATGGCACAAAAATCCAAATCTCTCAAACTTTAAACTGCTGAAGGAGCTGAACGTTTTGATTTATGAATTGTTGAAAAAGTACAAAAAAATGTGGAACAAAATGTGTGCGGAAAAACGTGTTGTAAAAAAAAGGATCTCAAAAGTGTGAATGTTTTTCGAAGCATTCACACAAAAATGTGAGAATTTAAAAGAAGATGCAGAGACTTCAGGTTATTACTGGAAATAATAACAATAATAATGAAGCATGTTGAGTTGCTGAAGTCATCTGACTGTAATCTGGATGAGATATCTCACAGCACGCTGCTCTAAAGCAGCTACTATATTTCTATCTGCCTTCATAATGTTTGTGCTATAAAAGTATTCAGTTAGAAAGGAAGATTTTAGATTTTTACAAGAAAACATGATTTAATAGAAACCCATAAAACATCTGTGAGTACCTACCTGTTACCTTTACTGTTTATAAATTGTTAAATATTTAAAATTTACTGTTCTGTTTTAATGAATAAAATTATATTTTGGTTAAAATAAATGGAGTTTAGCTGTTATCACTAAATATGGTAAAAGACCAACAACAGTAATTAAAAACTGAACTAACATTTTAAAAAACAATATGTGAGAAAAGTTTACAAAAACACACGTTTTTTTCTATTAACTTAAAATCTACCTCAAAAAATTTTGATTTCCTCGTAGACCAAATACAAAATAAGTGTTCTTTTTTATTGCTGAGTAAAAGTGTGCCATTAGGGCTTTTTCTTCACAATTACACAAAACGATAGTTCTTGAGAAGGGAACAAAATGTGTGTCAGACAAGAATTGGCCGTATCAAAATCATCAAACTGAATATCAATCTTTGTTCTGCTCTATTTTGAGCTTAAATGCATCAACTTTTGTTTAWGTTTGCAAACTGTTTTTGCAATGCATCCATTAAGGTGCTTTTTAAAACTTACTGTGTATGTGTATTTTTGTTTTGCATGTCTTTTTCCCTCAACCTCCCAAGGTTATCTCTGATTGTCTGACTAGAGGACAAACACCAATCTGGTTCCCTGCCTCGGATCAAACAGCCCAGAAAACAAAGTCAAGACAGATAAGTCAGCCCGTTTGTGCGGACCTGTGCCCTTCAGGTGAAATTTACATCCGTCTAAGTTTAGCCGGCTTGTCCTTGTTGCTGGAGCCTTGGCCGAATCCTGAGAGAGTTACAAAGATAGACGCCCCGCCGAGAATGGACAGGGCCTCACAGCTAGCTGCTGGTTAGCTATGGGAATGTATACTTGGAGAATTTATCACTAAGATAAGAAGGTAGCGACAGAGTGGCTGACACTCACCCTGCACCAGGAGCTCAGCCATCGACTCTCCACCGTTTGTTTTGACCTTGTAGTGGCCGCTGTCCTCCTTGGTCGCCTCATTAATTATTAGATAATGTTTGCAGCCGTCTTTCTTGAAACGATATTTTAAAGACTCGTCTCTGGTCAGTTCGACACCATCTTTCTCCCTGCACAGATAAAACAAACGACAAAAAAAATTAGAATAGTTCTTGGTGAAACTATTAAAYGGCTTGCCTCTTTGTATGAGATTATTTTCTACATAATTTGGGGGCTTTCTCTTGGCTACCACCACACCAAATTTKAGCAAAATGTGGCTAAAATGGCCACGTTAGAGTCCCTTTTACATTGTAGCTATGGCCACCATCTTTGATTTTGATTTGGATTCTGAACGTGATGGAAATCGTTCACCCCACCAGTCCAGTATGTCCTAAAATGGCTGGGTTATTGCTGCTTAAAATTAGCTCTGGCGGCCATCTTGAATTTTTATTTAGCATTTAAAATTTGTTAAAGTATATTATTGGCTAGTACTACACCAGTTTCAAGCTTTCTATGTTTAACACAATCTGATTTAGAGCCTTTTTTTAAAATTAGCATTAGCYGTTAACTTAATGCYTTGKTTTACAATGCAATCCTCTGCCTCTGTTCAGTTAAMCCCTAATTAAAAGCTTGTTAGTATCTCATCCCATGACCTAACGTCTTACTGAGCACACAGCTTGTGTTCAAACTTTCAGTTTAGTAGATATTTTAATGACGTACAATTACATTTTGWACATTTATGTGGACTTAATAATAAAGCAACTCACTATAAATGAATGAAAATGTGATTCCTTGAAGGAATGCACACTAACTCCAATTACTGCCAAAGTTTTAATCCAAAATCTTGTAATCTCTTAGTGCTCAAAGTACATGTTAGAGAAGATTCTCAGCTACTACCACACCAAAGTTCAGCTCAATATCMWTAAAACTGACTGAGTTAAAGCTAATTTTTTGTCTCCTCTTACTCACCCTTGGACAACTTTTAATGAGACTCATAAAGTAGTAACTGGCTGTACTTGGCAAATYGACATTTTGGTAAAACTCAGTCAGTTTTACAGARACTGACTTAAAATTWGGTGTGGCMGTAGCTSAGAGTCATCCCTATAACATACTCCAAATTCACATGYGTTGAGCAAAATCTTTGTTTAAGAATCAGCATTTGAGTGCATTTATTCAAGAAATACTACTTTATTTTCTGTAATCCCATTAGATTAACAARTAGAACAATCTAAAGCAATCCCTTTGTCAGTTGGTCCAACAGCCTAAAAGCAAACACTTTATATTTCGGAGTCGTGTTTCCATGGCCTAAAAATGAAACTACTAAAAGCTTCACCTCACCATTTAACGTTTGCTCCTTCTTCTGAAACTTCACACATCAACTCGACCCGCTCACCCTTCATAACCATCTGATCCTCCAGGTTTTTTACAATCGTCACAGGAGGCTCTGGAAAAAAAATATTCTGACAGATTAAAAAAAAAAGCAAATCTGGTTTCTCTCTGGCTGTTTCTCACCTTTAACAAAGAGCTCAGTGGTGCACTTCTCGTCTCCCACCACACACGCGTACGCTGCATCGTCTGCTAACGAGCAGTGGGTGATGGTAAGGTAGCGCATGTTGCCAACGCTCTCAAATATGTACCTTCACAAATGCCAAGAGTCTCATGTTATAAAAAGATTATTTGGTTTTCAGATTCTGTCATTCTGTTGGACACTTACTTGCTGAAGATGGAAATTAATGAAGGTAAAGAGCGGCAGAGGAGAGGAAAGAATAAAAATAAAAAAAGTTAGGGAGGGCTCTCATTATGTATGAAGAGAACAAGGAGCACATAAATCCAAACCTTCCGGATTTTTGAATTTCTTGTCCATTTTTCAGCCACTTCACCTCCACATTTTCATTGGCAACCTCAACTGCGAGCTTTATCTTATGTCCTTTGGACACCTGGTAGGCCGGGTCCAACTTTTTTAGGAAAGCTGCAGTTTCAGGGCAGAAATTAGACAAAAAAATAAATATTTTTTTACTTTTAAAGTTTTTAAAGGAGAACGTGACGAATGTCCTGACCTTCGCTTTTCTTCTCCTCCTTCTTCATCTTCTTCAGTCTCTTGAGCATTCCTCTAAGGTCTGTGATGCCGTGCTGGAAAGCAATCTTTTCATATTCTGAAGGAGGAGCGCGGCTGAGGATGCTCCAAACGTCCACGTCAGGCTCAACGTTCACGTGCACAGCTCTGATGGACAAACAAGAATTATTGTGCATCAAAGCAAGGTAAAACAACTACTAACTATCGCAATTTAACTATAAAATTACACATTGAATGTAGTATTTAGAGGACTATCGTGACTGTTTGTCTCTGGCTTAACTTGTTATGTAGTTTAAAACTTCTTACCTTCCTTTTGCTCGCAATGCTTGTATTGTAATAAATACAATAAAATGAATTTAAAACTTTATGTAACCATACAAATTTGACCAAAATTATGATTAATGTTTAATTTCCCAAGTGCAATTAAATGATTAAATGTCATAATGCAAATAATGATAAAAAAAGGATCTTATGAAAACTGCTGCTCATGTTAAAACAGAAGACAATTCTGACAAAACAGACCAGTGATGAAGCACATAAATTCTACAATTAATAAGTTCTTAAAACAAATATTAATACAGTGATCAAACATTCACATAATAAAGGGGGGTATTATGTAATTTCCAGGCACATAGTTCAGTTCTATACCTCAATCTTGTACCTATGTTACCTTCAGTTGTATATCATTATAAATTTGACTTTGCATCATAACCTATATTTAAATAAAATTGGCCTCTGTCTCTTTAAGAAACCCCTACCATTTCTGACACTCCCACTTCAGCACATCTTCATAAAAATGCTTTAGGGGGAGGGGTGCTCTGCTCTGTGGGGTGGGAACTCGGCTGCAGGGGAGGAGATTTGTGTAAATAGGCGGGGCTTTGTACCAGCATGCGTTTAGGCAGCGCCGCATGGCTACCACAGGTGATTCAAGGATTTCTCAAACATTGGATGAGTCAAAGCAACACTGGTTGTTTTTGATGAGAGAATGACATTATAACATGATAAAAAGCACAAACTAAATATTGCATAATACCTCCCCTTTAAGAAAAGGTTTACATTTGTAGCACCTTTTGTGCCCTCTTCAGGTTTTGCAGAGCACTTTACAATGTTTCACAGTCATCCAATCACACACACTCATACAGTGTTTTTATCAAACATACAGTATCTGTTGTATATATAAAAACATTGTATTTATTCACAGATAAAACCCATGCTGACAGCATGCTCTAACTCAGGGGTGGGCAATCCTGGTCCTGGAGGGCCGCAGCTCTGCATGTTTTACTTGTTTCTCTACTCCAACACACCTGATTTGAATGAATAGATGATTATCAGGCTTCTGCAGTACGGAGGACCAAAAGTGACATAATTAGAAATAAAAGCAGAATTATATAAATGAACTATTAAATAAATACACTTAAAGGCACCAATTAGAGAACTTTATCTCCTGTTTTATATTTTAATTGACTTTCGTATTTATTTTTCCAGGTTAGTTTCAATAAATTAGTCTATACATTTTAACACATGATTTCAATTTTACTGTTTTTTTTACATATGTATTAATTGTTTTTCCTTTACTTGTACATGCATTTGTGTGTCTTAAATGTTTATACTTTATTATGTTTACATTTTTTTCCAATAAATCTTTTTATTTCAATGTYTTGCATGCTTGTGGTGCCTAAATTTAGCTTAAAGTTTAAAGTTTAGTTCAAAACAAAGGCAAAAAGGATTACCTCTGCC